CTGGTCCTCCTTTTCGCGGTCAACGTCCCCGGAAACTTTTTCCTCTCCTCCGCACCTACGCAACTTAGATTAAGCATAAACATACCACATCAAACTAAGCTCAAAACTCACAAAACCAACATAAAACTCACACACTCTTATTACAATCTTATCTCTTCAAGAACCACAAATTTACATCCATAAATCCAAGCTTAAAGTTGGCTAGAAATTAATGGAGGGGAGTTTAAGAACTTACCCTTGAAGAATTCTCTCTTTCTCTTGAAAAACCCTTGAACTCCTCTAGGATTGTTAATGGCTTGAAACTATAAGAGTATAAGGAAATTTGAGAAGAATATTTCTCTATTTCAAACTTTCCCAAAACATGAAAAAGAGAGGATTTAGAGTTTCTTTACCCTTAGAGGAATGCTTGACTAGTCTCCTCCTAGAATCCCTTAATCTCCTTCTTCTTCTTCTATGGTGTGCTAGGGGCTCAAGTTTTGGAGAGTGGGAGAAAATATTTGAGAGGAAATGGAGAGTGTGTGGCCGGATTTTTTGAGTGGGGAAAAAGCTAGGAGAAAAAAAATGAAGCTTATCCTATGTTGGTTCCTTTTATAGGCACTTGGAAATTATTTTTTTTAACACCAATTCCACTCCATCATTCAACCAAATTTTTGGTTCAAATCCCCCTTTCTTGGCCGGTTTTGGAAGGAGCAAAGAAGAAGCAACTTTGCCATTAATTCCCCTTCAACCACTAACATCACATCACCTTAACATAAAGTCCTCTAGCACACTCCACTAGCCAAAGGTTTGGCTCTATTTTTTCATGCATGGCCGGCCAAGTGGAGGAAGGGAGAGAAAAAAATCTCACCTACCCCATTGTACTCTTGTCCACTTTCTTAAGTTTCCCTTAGAAACTGATAAAAATTATACTGACTATAAGAGAGTAACTTAGCTAACAGGAATTCGTTTCCATTTCTGACGGTTCCTTTTTCTACTGCTTATTTACAGTTAAATGTTAAATCCTTGACTGCTTTGGATATCACATTAAATTCTTATTCGCGTAATATCTTGAACTGTTTACAGTCTTGAAATTAATTCTAGACTGAACAAATTCTAAATTTAACTATCCTGCGTTAATTTTCAGAAATGACGTTGTTTCTGACGGTGTCAACTCCCGAGTTTACATTATACCCTTCTACTATGGGTATTTATCTTCTGACTTTAACCTAGCTGTCTGGCAATTAAGGATTTTCTCTTTTTTTAAAAATGTCAGTGCGTTTTTTTTTACGCTGCTAACATCATGCTGTGTTTGGAGATTCTTGAAATTAAGATTCTCAAACTATACTTGTACTGAAAATTATTCTGCCTTAAAGTACGGCGAGAATTTATCGATCGAATTTACTCGATCGAAAACATGATCTTAACACGGAATCTGCTACAGAATTTAAGAATACATATATTAATTCCATAAATACTTCATTCACAATATAACATAATATTTTTTAGGAAAATCCTTGGCTTAAATACATAAATTGTATTATTTAAGGTCTGGGATTTTCTCAGTCATTACAAGAATTACCCTAAAGCTAAACAGAGCAATTTTTCTGGTCTCTGAAAGAACTCCCAATGATGTCAAATTTTTGAACAAAAAGTAAGTGATTTTTGGTGGAAATTGGTAATGAACAAGACTCGTTATTTTGTCACGACATCTAACGACTTCTCGAACCGTTACTGAGCTTTCAAAAGGTTTTGTTTTGTTCGTTTTCCTCTTTTTTAGTTATTTCCATATTTGTAATAAGTTGACCTAAGATTTTCATATTCCAATTCTAATTATGTTTCCTTAGTCCTTAGGTTTGACAGTTTCAATTTTAGTTTCTTGTTCAAAATATTCTTTTTGAAATTTCTCGTAATTTTATTATGTCTCTCTCTCATTTTCTTTCATTTTTGAAATTTTGTGTGAATAATGGACTTTGAATTGGTTTTCCTGGCATCTATCAGTTTTTTTCTCATTAAGCTTGTGCTACATCAACACATGTCTCAACCTTATTTGTTGTGGGGAGATTCCCCCAACACGTGTCTTTTTCACCCATCTCTTCCCTCATTTTTTACTTCTATTTTTTTTTTTCTCTTATTTGCTTTTATGTAACGATCCCAACGTTTTTCTTTTGTGACTTTTTTTTTTTGGGCGGGGCGGCGGGGTGGGGTTCCACTCAAAGTTGGCAGGTTCAGTTAAGATCCTTGTTTTCAAAGTATCTATGGACGTATTAATCAAGCTTTATACCATCAAGTTACTTGTACTATAAAAGACAAAAAACCGGTGATGGATATATTAGTACTATGCACAATGAAAAACTAAGAATCGTAGCAGAGATGGAGGAGTGTAGTATTTTTCAGGGTTGTGTATGTACCTAAAATATTTGTGGTAGATTAGTTATAAATTTTTTGAACAAAATTCTTTTGGAAGAAGTGAAAATTTCTCTAATATGGATCAATCTTATTCTGACGCCCGTAGACCTCTAGAGAGTTTGCCTCTCAATCTTCGTTTTTTTCCTTGCAAGGAAAAGGTGATTTACAAAACATCATTGTAAACAATCTTCAGAAGATAGTTAAATGATCAAACCTACCGAGGAGCAATATTAGAGAGATAAAGGATCCGTTTATTTCACCGATTTGAATTTAGAATTTAAGTTTTGTTACAGTAAAAAGCTTTCAAAAACAGTCATATCTAATTTTTTTACTGCGGTAAAAAGCTCTCATATAAAATCACATCTCAACTCGAATTAAAAACTCAAATCAGCGAACTAAACGGCCCAAAATGATTGTTATTAGATGAAGGTCATCGTTAAAAATATTTTGATCGGACATTCTTTTTCTGGTTAAATAATGCTATATAGTAAAGTACAATGGTTGTATGTATTACTTACATGATCATCAGTATCATTTGCTCAGGAGTTAATTTTTCTGTAGCAGTCTTTGGAAATAGCGGTATTCGCTTTCCTTTCAGCTATGGCGAATATTGGTGGGTCAGGCTGCGTTTTCTCGAACGCGCCTTCTTTTTTTTTTTTTCTTGGATGAATCCTTTTTCGCTGGCTGAGAAAAAGGAGATAAAATCAATCTCTTGTGTATATTGATTCGATGTTGTTTAGCAATGACCGGCAGACACGCAAACGCATGAACAAACTGAAAGAGAAAGAAAACAAAGTGAAAGCTTCATTTTTGGTTTCTTTCTAACTGTATTATTCTCCAATAATTGAGACAGTCAAAACCGATTGCAATGACGATCCCTTATTTATTTTTATTTTTTTAATATAGTGGTTTTAATTTTACTATAGTAGGTTTGTGTATAAATTAGACTCCCCCTTAATTAATAGTTCTTTACATTTTATTGGGCTAATTATTTAGATTTTTAAAAAATAAAAGGGTTATATACATAAATGTCTACTAAGAATACTTTAATAGCCCAATTAAAATACTAGCAAAATCTAATAATTTTAATAGCCCAATTAAAATACTAGCACATTCATACTAAAGGTGATATTTTGTCTGTACTAAATGCTTGCAAAGAAAGCTAACTCTTCAATTTCCAGATTCTCAAACAAATATCAAGAATACCATTACACAAATGAGTCACAATATTATTCAAGCATGGAGCGACACTATTAAAATTTCTTTTCCATCCATTAAAAGTAATTTATATCCACACTTTTTTGTAAAATTAATACCCACCACCCACGCTTACACTTTTTCAATCTCAAACTCAACAGGTTGGTTAATGAATGCTATTTCCAAACTGTTCGAAAAATAAAAATAAAAAATTGAAAGAAGTTTGGAAATTTGCTCCATTATTTAAGGTTAGATTTTATTTTTTTCCTTCTTTTTTTTCATTTTTTCCTTTATAATATTAATTTTTTCCCTTCTATTTCAATGTCTAATTTAGGAAAACTCTTTTCATTCATTATACATTAGTAATTGGTATTTCAAAATTCAAACGGTATCAGGTTATTACTCTTATTTTTTGTTATTACTAACCAAATTATTTTAGTTGGATTTTATACTTAAACTGTAAAATAGAAACAATAATTTTCTATTAAAAAATAAAGTTGGCATAATGAGATATATGTGTATAGTTTACTAGATTTATATATTGTAGTTTATAAACCCTTATAAATAAATTCTGACTCTCTGTCGCTGAAACCGAGTGATAATCCATTATGATAAGGCTGCAGTATCAGACACGTAAAGCCGAAAAATAAATACTTATTTATTTTTCTTTTCTAGAAGGAAAAAAGCAAAGTGCGATTTAAACCCTTATAAATAAATTCTGACTCTCTGTCGCTGAAACCGAGTGATAATCCATTATGATAAGGCTGCAGTATCAGACACGTAAAGCCGAAAAATAAATACTTATTTATTTTTCTTTTCTAGAAGGAAAAAAGCAAAGTGCGATTACTTTCTAAAAAGAGAGTACGATATTAAAAACGAAAATAAAAATAGCTACTTTCCAAGGGCGTTATAGTCAATTCAATAAGGTTGGTAGATATCTGATCAGATATCATGGGGACACAACAGTATCTCTATTTCATGAAACTATTAAGACGTTTAGTTGGTGGATTTAAACTATATGATTTAAATTATTTTTAATTTATATAAATTTTTTATAAAAAAAAATAATATAATAAATTATGAATCATGATTCAAATTAAGAATGAATTCTTCTACTAAACATAACCTTAATTTTTTTAAAGTCTATTGTAAGTCTTCTTTTTTTTCATCATCTTCTTCTTCTTCCTCTTATTTCTCTCTCTATTTATCTATAATAAAATAACAGTTCCATCACCTTGAAGTACCCAGCTTCTAAGCAAAATATTTGCTGAAAAAGGATATGAAGACCAGCCCAAGATTCATGCAGGTTCTTCTCTTCGTATGTCTGTTTCTCGAGATAAATCTCTCCCAAGGAGCTGATACCATCTCTGCAAACCAGTCCCTCTCGGGTGACGAAACCATTGTATCTGAAGATGGAGTCTTTGCGTTGGGATTCTTTAAACCAGGTAAGTCTCCAAAGTACTACATAGGCATCTGGTACAAGAAAGTTACAGTGCAGACTGTAGTTTGGGTTGCAAATAGAGAGACACCAGTTTTAGATAGATTTTCTTCAGAGCTGAAAATCTCAAATGGCGGCAATTTAGTTCTTTTAGATGAGTCCAAAACAACAATTTGGTCCACAAACGTGAAGTCCAATAGCTCTGCTTCTGTAGAAGCTCTTCTTTTAAGTAACGGAAACCTAGTCTTAAAAGACCGATCTAATTTGTCGTCAGAGCCGCTATGGGAAAGTTTTCATCATGTAACTGATACTCTGCTGCCTGGTTGCAAATTTGGTTACAATAAAAAGACCAAAAGAAATCAAGTTGCAACTTCATGGAAGAATATAGAGGATCCTGCCCCAGGTATCTTCTCAATTGAGCTAGTCCCAAGTGAAAATTCCTTTAGAATACAATGGAATAGGTCTAAAAGTTATTGGACCAGCGGAACTTGGGATGAGCGTATTTTCAACTCTGTGCCTGAGATGAGAATTGATGACTATTTCTATAATTTCAGCTATATTTGGAATGATGAAGGGAGCTATTTCGTATACTTTTTTAAAAACACGACTAAAAATGTATCCCGACTTATGATGGATGTTTCCGGGCAGCTACAGCGACCATTGTGGGTGCCTCCTGAAGGATGGAATGTGATTTGGTCATTCCCGAGACAACAATGTCAAGTTTATGCCCTTTGCGGGCCATATGGAATCTGCACAGAGAAGTCCTTGCCTTTCTGTAGCTGCTTGAAGGGATTCAAGCCAAAATCCCTCAGTGATTGGGATTTGAAGGACTACTCTGGTGGGTGCATTAGAAAGACCGAACTTCAGTGTGAGAACTACTATCTTTCAAATAGTGAGAAGGACAGATTCCTTGAACTTCCCAGCATGTTGTTGCCTAAAAGTGATCAGTCTATGCAAGTAGAGAGTGTAACAGCATGTGAATTAACATGCTTAAATAACTGCTCTTGTACGGCTTATGCTTACGACAACAATGCTTGTTCAATTTGGAAAGGAGATCTCTTAGATCTTCAACAACTCAAAGCGGGAGACAACAATGGAAGAACGCTCAACATTCGATTAGCATCCTCCGACTATCCGAATAGTAAGAGACTAATTCGAAGTGCTAGTAATAAGGCACTGATTATAGGTGTTGTGGTGGGCTCAAGTGTAGTAGTTCTCCTAGGCCTTATTCTATTTTCTGTTATAAGACAGAGAAACAAGGAAATCAGAAGACGACAAAAAGCAGTTCAGAACTCCTTGACGGTTTTTACCTACAAAGAACTACAGAATGCCACAAAGAACTTCTCGGAGAAATTAGGTGGTGGAGGCTTTGGTTCAGTCTTTAAGGGGACTTTGCCTCACTCTTCTATGGTAGCAGTGAAGAAGCTTGAAAGTGTCGGCCAAGGAGAGAAGCAATTTAGGGCAGAAATTAGTACAATCGGAACAATCCAACATGTTAACCTTGTTCGGCTTCGAGGGTTTAGCTCTGAAGGTACTAAAAAGTTGTTAGTCTACGATTACATGCAAAATGGCTCATTAGCTTCTCACCTTTTCCATGAAAAGAATCCGAAGGTTTTGGACTGGAAAGCAAGATACCAAATTGCTTTAGGGACAGCTAAAGGGTTGGTGTATTTGCACGAGATGTGCAGAAACTGCATTATTCACTGCGACATCAAGCCTGAAAACATTCTTTTAGATGCAGAATTTTGTCCGAAAGTGGCAGATTTCGGGTTGGCGAAACTTGTTGGGAGAGAATTCAGTCGCGTCCTCACAACAATGAGAGGGACAAGAGGTTATCTGGCACCAGAGTGGATTGGAGGATTGGCGATAACACCAAAAGCGGATGTTTACAGCTACGGAATGGTGCTTTTCGAGCTTGTATCCGGAAAGAGAAACTCAAAGCAATCAGATTCAGAAGGAAAAGTGCCGAAGTACTTTCCAAGTTTGGCCACTAGCGTAGTAGTCGAAGGCGGTGATGTCCTTAGCATTTTAGAACCGAGGTTGGAGGGGGATGCTGACGTACAAGAACTTGAAAACGCTTGTAAAGTTGCTTGGTGGTGTATCCAAGATGAAGAAGCGCATAGGCCACCAATGAGTCAAGTAGTTCAAATGCTTGAAGGTACTCTGGAGGTGGATTTACCACCTATTCCGAGAACGCTCTACTTTTTTGATGAGAATTAGTCTCCAGCTCGTTAAGTGGTCAGGTGATCTCTTTGACACTAAGTGCTATATACCACTTCAATGTGCCGCAATTCCTGAGCCGACTGATGAATCAAAATAGTGCTCTGATTTCTCATGTTATTTGGTTTATGTAAAAATAATGTTGTGATTACTGTAAGATAAACACAGTTGTTACAAAGGGTGTTATCACACTTTCTCTAATACTGGTGATTAATAAAAATTTCTATATTCAGTGACAAATAACTAAATGTGCAAAAAAATAATGTAAACACGGAAAGAACACTAGGAATTGATATCGCAGTACGGTGCGCACACCTACATCCGTGAGGCCACTTCTACACAGTGAATAATGCACTAAGATAAAATGATTATAAACACCGCTCGATCTTACACACTCAAAGACTCTTTTCTTAATGTTGTTGCCGCTATGGAGAATTCTCTTAGTGGTCTTGTCCAGCAAGCACCACTCGTCTTTGAACTGCTAGACGAACTCCCTTCAACTTACAGGGGTTCCTCTTGGAAACAACACCTTATTCTCTCGAAAAGTGAATATCACACTCTATGAAGGCTCACAAATGCACAAACCCTTTCTGAATATTCTTCACGTTAATTGCCTACAACAATGAGCTGAAAATAATGCCTTAAAATAAGGCATCAACACCTCACAATAATCATTCTAAAAAACTCCACGATTCTCTCATCGAAAAGAATATCCTGCCAATTCAATTCAAATTACCAAGTTTAAATTCGAATATTAAACTAAATAAAATATCCGAATTTCTTTGAAATCACGCAGCCCATATCTTCTCTTCATATTTAACGTTCCAAGCTTTCCAAAAATACCACAATCCCAATCAATCACCGCCACACTATTTCCAAATTAATTCCCACGTAATATCCTTCAATATCGCATTGATATCTAACCAAATATCTCCACTTCTTCAAATTAAACTAATTCGGATATGTACTCACCTCACGACACATATCTTCACGTTGATCACATATTTTCACGTTGATCACATATTCAAATTCCAAAGCCAAACCATTATATGTGGTAGCATTATCTCACGTTGGCAAAAGTATTTCACCAAATCTACCACTTGCCTTATGTGGCACTTGATTTCACGTTGTAAAATCTCGGATTAAGCAATCAAATCTGATCTCCAACTTCAACTCAAAAACTCGGCAAAGATTCTGCAATCTTCTACAACTCTGCAGCTTCCAATCTTCAAGTGAAACCTGTGTTTGAATTTACAGACACAACGTTGTCAAAACATGTAAACTAGACAAATTACCTAACAATTACTGTTATTATAAAAAAGTAAAGTTATATTTCCGCGTTTGATCAGTTGTTTTTAATGTTTTGAGTCACTGTAAGGAAACAAGATCATGCTGCAAATCAATCACCACCTTAGACCTTGATCATTGGCTAACACTTCCAAGTCTTCATGATCCAATATACTTTTCATTTGATTTACCGTGTGGATATTTCTAGTGGAGGCTGATTAGCTTTATTACTTTCCACATATTTTTTCTAGTTTTGTGTGTCCATATGAACCTCCGTAACCATATTATTTTAATGATGTAATATACATTTAAAATTTAAAGTGCTCTTTTCTTATTAAGTTATTTTTTTCATGTTTTACACTGGTCACAATGTCTCGAGACTCATAACTGAATCATGGCCGTAACCCTGCAGGAAAACGATTCTTTGAAGATTGATTTAAGGAGCCTGCATCTTTAGTTACTGGATGTTTCCAGCCATTCAAAACAGCACGCCAAGCTTTCTCATCTTGAGCCTTGATGAAAGCCTTCATCCGGGTCTTCCAATATGAATAATTCAAACCATCAAGCAGAGGGGGACGTACAACTCAACCTCCTTTCTTCAAAAAATCCATTCCAAACATAACATATCAATTCTCTAAGATCTCACCGAACTTATGGTCAGTGAACCACTCTAATACCACTTGTTAGATCTGATGTTACGTCTGATGTTCCAGATGATGTTGGAACACTGTCTGGAACACAGCTTGATTAATTAAGATCCGGGTTTCTTACTATTCAAATTGTTCGAGTAGAATAAAGTGCATAAATTAAAAGAACACACAATATGATATCGCAGTTCGGTGCGCACACCTACTTTGCAGGGCCACGCCCAGACAATAAACAGTTCACTATGTTCCAGAAATTACAGACACCGAACGGACTTATTTACTCCAGGACTCCCTCCTAGACAACGACGCCGCTGTGACGAATCTCCACAGTGATTTGTTTAACGTGCACCACACGTCTTCTTAACTGCACGGTGAACTCCCTTCGACCGATAGAGCTTCCTCCCGAAAGCAATAAATCCCTCTCCTGAAGGACGATCTCAATAACTCATAAAAACTCACAGACGTCTCTCTGAATATTTTCTCAGTAGTAAGCTCTCAAATTCATAGAATTTTCCTCTAGAGATATTCTATTAAATCCATGTCACATATGCTCTGAAACAAAGCTTTTAAATAAAGTCAAGAGAATCTCATTCAAATCCATTCTTGATAAGTTCTCTATTATCTCCATGATTCTCTCTCCTAAATAGGCTCTAAAATATCTTCACGTTATCTTCATAATCTCCAATTCGAATTATGCAATAACCTTCATGTTATCTCTTCTCTTCACCTTTTCGGCATTAATATCTTCACTTTGAATTTCAAAACCGATTTCAACATGTAGCATGTAGTCTTCTCTTAGCTAATTCCAGCACGTAAAAAATATCCACATACATGTGCAATATATATATATATATATATATGTATATGTATGTATGTATATATAACCCAAAGATAAACTTTGTTTGATCTCCACGGCTATATCTCCCATTTATCTCCAAATCTACTTTTATAGATAAAGCTCTCTTTATCTCTTTCTAGAATCACATTTAAATTTAAATACCCAATGCATTATCTTCCTTTGATCAAGGCCTTATCCTTATCTCTCCAAATCTGATTCTGAATCTTCTTCTACAATACGAAATCTTCTTGAACTTATTTTTTGAATTTTTTTAAGATTGCCAATAAATTGCCAACTAATAAAAATACTTAACAATCTCCCCCTTTGGCATTTTTTGGCAAAACTAACAAGAGATCCTAAAAAATTCAAAAACGAGAAAAAAATATAAAATTACATTGTTCTCCCCCTTTTTGTAAAAAATAAGCCAAAGACACAAAAATATAAAAAAAATTCACACCCTAGAACTGTTTTCAGCAACTTACTCCCCCTGAATCTTCTATGTGTCTTACTCCCCCTGAATGTAGCATTCTACCTTGTATAATGCTCTTAACACCTGTCAATCGCTTAGTGCAACCAGTGTCACTACACCCACATTCATTAGTGTATGCTTCTAAAGAAGTATAAGCCTTATGACACCTCAAATCAGATTTTCTTACCCACACACGTCTAGAAAAATTATTTTTCACATCAATCTTCATGTTAGATGTCTTTGAGTTTGCAGAATTTGGTGGATTAATAAACATACCTCTCTTCAAAGCATTTAAATACTTGTAGCATTGCGATCTTATGTGGCCAGGTAAACCGCAATAATGGCATGTGGGGACAAACCTTCTATGTCGAGGGGATGAGATAGTAACCTTCTTAGTGGAGGAGGTCGGAGGCTTAGGGGCAGATGTCTTCTTCACAAACACTGTTTTGGACATTGAGCTCTCACCAATATAGCCAAGGCCATGTCGATCGCCACTAACTTTTCCTATCAAGAGAATGTGATCCAATTTTGTGGTGTCTGAATTCATCATCTTCAATGACTTTTGAGTGTGCTCCAGTTCAGCTCTTGTCTCCTGCAGCTTTTTCTCCTTTTCAATAGACCGAAATTCATAGTTTACAGCAGCCCTCTTAAGTACATCCTTCTCTTTAGTAAGCTCATCGACTCGCTCCCGTAAAGACTTATTCATTTTAACCACCAAAACCCATTTGTTGAACATGGTTTCATATGCCTCCTAGATTGTCTCCTCAGTTAGTTCTTCACCATTGCTGGAACCGTCAGAATCTGAAAAATTTCCGTTTTCATCTGGTTTTCCAGAGTGTGTTGCAGATGATGTTGCAACATGAGCTGTGACACGATCTGTAACACTGCAGTTTGGAACATCTTGGTAGATATTGAACGCAACATAGTTGTTCACATGATCATCATCTTCTTGGTTGCCTTTGTAATGACTGAGAAAATCCCAGACCTTAAATAATACAATTTATGTATTTAAGCTAAGGATTTTACGTGACTGAAGGATTTATGGAATTAATATATGTATTCCTAAATTCTGTAGTAGATTTCATGTTAAGTTCATGTTTTCGATCAAGTAAATTCGATCGATAAATTCTCGTCGTACTTTAAGGCGGAATAATTTTCAGTACAAGTATAATTTGAGAATCTTAATTTCAAGAATCTCCAAACACAGCATGATGTTAGCAGCGTATAAAAAAAAATGCACTGACATTTTAAAAGAAGAGAAAATCCTTAATTGCCAGACAGCTAGGTTAATGTCAGAAGATAAATACCCATAGTAGAAGGGTACAATGTGAACTCGGGAGTTGACACCGTCAGAAACAACGTCATTTCCGGGAATTAACGCAGGAAAGTTAAATTTAGAATTTGTTTAGTCTAGAATTAATTTCAAGACTGGAAACAGTTCAAGATATTACGCGAATAAGAATTTAATGTGATATCCAAAGCAGTCAAGGATTAACATTTAACTGTAAATAAACAGTAGCAAAAGGAACCGTCAGAAATGGAAATGAATTCCTGTCAGCTAAGTTACTTTCTTATAGTCAGTATAATTTTTATCAGTTTCAAAGGGAAACTTAAGAAAGTGGACTAAAGTACAAGGGGTAGGATTTATTTTTCTCTCTCTCCTTCTCCACTTTGGCCGGCCATGCATAGAAAAAATAGAGCCAAAATTAGCTAGTTGAGTGTGCAAGTGGATGACATGTTAAGGTGATGTGATTGTAGTGGTTGAAAGGGAATTAATGGCAAATTTGCTTCTCCTTTTCTCCTTCCAAAACCGGCCAAGAAA